CCCCCCCCGTGGAGTGCTCACCACGAGCTCAGCGGCTGGAACCTCCCAGCCTTCCTGAGGGAGAAAGATGAGGCTGCCTGTGTGGGAAACCCACAGGGCCAGCTCGGTTCTACCGCGCAGACTCGCTAGGAGTCGGCATGGCAGTTGGGCGTTTGGTTTTGGCTTCATACAGTACGATGCCGGTTTAATAGGGCCCTGGGTCTACAGGACGCAGTAGAATGGACGGACTGTAAATCTTCATGAGAGCAGACTGCCTGCCGCAGCGTACCTCTCCAGGACGCCGGTGGGTCTGAACCACCGACCTTTCCGTTTCCGTTAGCCTAGCACCTAACCACTGCATCACCAGGGCGCCTGCCAAAACCTCACTGCCACGGGGTCGATGCCCACGCAGAGCTCCCCCCCAGAGCAGGGCAGAGCTGCCCTGTGGGTTTCCAAGACTGTTGACAGGAGTAGGAAGACCATATTCTCGGAGCGGCTGGTGGTTTCGAACTGCCGACCAATTCATAATCACTATACCACCAGGGCTCCTTCCACTACCAGTACGTTCTAAAAATCAAAGGAACATAAATAAGGAGGCTAGCTGAGAATGATTTCCTGAGGTACAGAAAAGCACATTCTTTTAAGGTATCCGGGCTGGTTTTTCAACCAGCATCGTACGCAAGTACAGACTGCACTTAGTTGTTCTGTCTTGCCCCACTTGCTCAGGCTGTGCCATGTGACAGTTAACACTAGCACAGAAACCACCATCTTCCTGGGCCGCTTCGCGTTGGCGTGAACTTGGATAAGAGCCCTGCGAGCTTGTCTGACGCTGCACTGGCCTCTGCTGTGGTTGGGTGCTGTCCAGTTGGTCTCACCTCACAGAAATCCATGTGGAGCAGAAGAGAACACTGCCCAGTCCCATGCGAGGCTCACAATGATTGTTCCTGTGCCTGAGCCCATTGATGCACTCACGGTGTCAATCCGTCTCATCTAGAGGCCTTGAACCAGTGTCAGGTGGTGGTGACTCCCCTGAGCCTGTGAGTTGTTGCTCCTTGGCCTGGCAGAAGGCACTTTGCTCAGAACCAGGTGTTCATTGGTCAAATGCTTCTGGATGCTTGAGGTTCCCTGAGAGTGCTCAAAGGACACATCTCCAGGTGTGGGCTTTGGGGAGCCCCCCAACCTTATGGAGTCTCCATCGGATATGTGGGCTTAACTGGGCACTCAGGAGAGCATTGAAGCAGTTACTCAGTTTGGTTCAGGGCTGGCTTTGTAGCTCTCTCCATTCCCACCCCCCACCCCCCACTCCCCACTCTGAGGTTTGGGGGAAGCAGACTTGCTGTAGCGGCTGTGTCAGCCTGTGTGCTGCCTGGCTGGGTGCACGGCCCTTCCGTCTGCTGAAGCTGGCCAGTGATCAGTGACCAGTGCTCTGAGCTGACTGGTGTGCGGGTTATGCAGATGTGGTCTTCACATGGGGAGTGTGCACTGCTGACCCTTGGGCCACAGCTTACCCATGGTTTTCTCTGTGGCCGAGCCCTGGAGGTGGAGACAACCAATCGAGCCACTGCCCACCAGAGTGGCCCTGTGGGACATGGAGGAACTGCCCCTGTGAATTTCTGAGGCTGTCCATCCTTGTAGGAGTCGGCAGCCTGGTCTTTCTCCTGAGGAAACAGCCACAGGTTGGCAAAGATGAGGCTTCCGGTAGTGTTGGTGGGGCCCTGGTGGTGCTGTTGAGTGGGCCTTGGGCTGCTCAGGTTGATGGTTCAAACCCACCAGCTGCCCCTCAGGAGATGAGGCTGTCTGCTCCCATCAGGATCGACAGCCTCGGGGATTCTGTATATGACCGAGTTGAGCCAGAATCGACCCCAGGGCTGTGAGTTTGGGTTTTGAGTGCGGTTAGTGTCCATGTGTTTCTCCCCAACAAGCTTGTCCCTGGCATTGGGCGCTGCTGGACACCACAGCAGTGCTGGGTGGCAGCCAGCTTGGCACAGGCCTAGGCCTTGGCTGCTCACCGGACGGAAGGCCCCAGGCTGCTCGAGACAAAGGTGTCCCAGTCTGCTCTGGTGAAAAGTCACGGCCCTCAGGCCGTCCTGCCCTCCCCATAGACGCTCCGAGCCTGGGAACTCCACGGGTGGTCCCCTGCCCCACGGGGTCGCCTGGGTGCAGTTTGGGGTTTTGGGGGGAAGCAGGAGTCACTCGGAGTTCCCATCTGCACCTTCACTGTTTCTCTCCTTCTGCCTTAGGTACCCCTCAGGGAGCCCCCCAGGGAGAAGACTGCCCCCCTGTGAGCTTGAAGGAGCGGCGCTGGGGGCTCCTCCTGACTGGGCTTGTTGGGGGGACGCTGGCGGCCGTGTACGCAGTAGCTGTCCCCTTTCTGGCGCCTGCCCTGCGGTCGGTGTGCCTGCCTTTCGTCCCCGCAACGCCACGGCAGGTGGACAATGTTGTGCGCATGCTGCGCGGTCGGCGTGGGACCCTGGTGGACATCGGCAGTGGCGACGGGCGCCTGGTGAGCCCCCAGACCTTGCTGTCCCTCTGATTTGGGAGGCACAGTCGGGGTGGAAATCGCAGTTCTGCAGGTGGGCAGGCAGCTCCCAGTGCCTGCTTTCCTCTACATTAATCTCAGGCCATGGCTCCAGGTCAGGGTGTGCACCAGGTGGTCACCAGGGCCTGGCCTCCAGGTCGAGATGTTGACCAGGCCCACCACCCCTTCCAGGAAAAAAGGAAACTACTCAGCACCCCCCTGGCCGTTAACAATGTTGTGATTTACCTGTCATCCAGCATAGAACGCAGCCAGCGTCTGCAGCCCCCCAGGGCCTGGCCTCTCCTTCATCCAGGATAGAGTTGAGGGCATCTACCTCTGCAGCCCCCTGGACTGTTCCAGCACCAGCCCCCAGGGGGCAGAATCGTCCACTCTGGGAAACACTGCTGTTAATTGTCATAGGAGTAGAAAGCCTCTCTAGAGCAGCTGGTGATTTTGAGCTGCTGATCTCAGGGTTAGTGCTTTGTGCACAACAGAACAAAAACAGGCCCGCTCCTGCCTTATCCTGATGAGTGCTCTCATCATGGAGCACCTGCTTGTCCAGCTGGTCAAGGGTCTTCCTCTTTTTGCTGCCCCTCCACTTTCCCAAGCATGATGTCCCTTCACTTTCCCAAGCATGATGTCCTCCAGGGACTGGGCTCTCCTGACAACCTGTGCATGGTATGTGAGACGAGGTCTCCCCCTCTGGCCACTGAAGAGCTCTCTTCGCAGGTGGTCGCTGCAGCTAAGGCTGGCCTCCCTGCCGTCGGCTATGAGCTCAACCCCTGGCTGGTTTGGTTCTCCCGATACCGCGCCTGGCGAGAAGGCGTGCGAACCTCTGCCACATTTCACATTTCAGACCTGTGGAAGGTAGGTTGGTGGGAGGCAGGGTGGTTCTGGGGACTCCTTCTGGAACCCTTACTGTTCATCTAAAGAGGGCAAGGAGCCCCAATAGTTCAAAGCCAGCAGCCGCTCAGCAGGAGAAGGCGGGCCTTTCTGCTCCTGTAAGAGTTCATCTGGAAACCCACAGGGGCAGTTCTACCCTGTCCTGTAGGGTTGCTCTGAGCCACAATCAGCGTGAGGGCAGTGCATGGGCTAGTGGTGTGTGTGTGCTTGTGTATGCACACACGGGTGCCTGTAGGTGCACATGTATAAGTGCACGCATGTGTGTGTATAAATATAAATCTGTGCACATGTGCATCTCTCCTTCATCCCCGATAGAGTGAGGGTGTCTGCTTCTGCAGGCTGTATGCGTGTGCCTGTGTGCTCATGCATGTCTGTGTGTGTGCATACACGTGTGCATGTTTGGATGTATATGTGTGAGTGTATTTAGAGACAGAGCGGAGTGAAGGACGGTGGGAGGAAAGAGCCCGCCCACTTCCTATCCTCATAAAGTACACGGTACATCCCAAGTTTACTTGAACTCTGAAACCAACCCTGTGATTTCACCTCTAGAATGCTCCATAGAGCACGCTCTCTTAAGCAAGATCTTCCCGTCGTCACGTGGCTGTCAATGCACATAAAACCTCTCTCGAGTACGCTTGTGTTGTGTTTCACACCTTGCACACAGAATGGCCTCTCTTAGGAGCAAATCAGACTGAGGTTCAGTGTCAAAGTTCTGACCAGGAGGCCCTTCACCCCTGCTTTCCAACTAGAGACCAGCGGGGTGCCCTTTCACCTGGGGTGGTGGTGGTGGGGCTAGCACCTAAGGATGGCTCGGCATAGGAAACCAGGGTGACGGTGGGTTGGCCAAGCAGCTCTGCTTGGACAGGGCAGGCTCTGCAGACGCCCGCCTGAATGTCCCTCATGGGTTGATGTCACTGCGGGGAGAGCTCTGGGACCTATCGTTGAAGGGGCTCCAGGTGTCATCTGTTGGCTTTGGGTAGGTGGACCACACAGGGGTGCCTCAGAAGAGAGGCTTGGTGACCTACTTCCCTACCTAGCCCTTGCCACTCCCCCCTGCCCCACCACCCCCATGAAGTGCAGTTCTGTGGGTGCACTGCCTGGCAGGGTGGGATGTGGCGGCGCCCTATGGGGCCGCCGGGAGCTGAGCTGCGTGTTGCTCCCTCCCCCTAGGTCTCCTTCTCCCAGTTCTCCAACGTGGTCATCTTCGGAGTTCCTCAGATGGTGAGTATGTGCTTCCTGGGCCCAGCACCCGGCCCCGGCCCCATGGCCCACCCACAGTACCCAAAACACTGAGCCCCTTATTCCTTACCTGTGGAATTGGATCTCAGTTTGCTGGTTTGATAAAGACTGCATGTCAGGCTTTGAAAGCCTCCTCGTGTGGATTGCTTGCTTCTGGGAGATGTCTCAGCTTCCAGCTTGAGTGTTCAAAGCTGCAGGTCCACCCGGCCTCATGTGGCTGCGGGGGAGGTGGTGGGTGGGCTGCCCCCCCCCCAGCTGATGGTACCCCTCTGTTTGCTTTCTCTTCTGAACCATTCCATCGTGTTTTCTGCGAAAGTTTACACAGCAGCACTCACTGCACACCCAGCATTGCTGACACAGTCCTCTCTGGGCCTCGGCTGCAGTCCCCTCAGCGCAGCAGCTCTCCTCCCACCTCCTCCTGGGCCCCACCTCCTTTCACTCACCTTTCCTGCTCTCTGAACTGCGTTCGGGTAAGTTCCCCTGCATTTTTAGGACATGGACTACTTTAAATTTACCCCAGGTTGGCTGATGGGACAAACAACTGAGTAGAGTCACGGAGGTCACTTAACATTGATGGTACACTCCGCGGGACAGGACGGCATGTGATTGGGATGCTGAGACAGGGCAGGGTGCAATGTGGATGCTGTGAGGCAGGACATTATGCCATGTAGATATGATTGTTAAGAAAAGTGTACTGCAGGTTACATGTGAAGTTCCTTCAAAGAGTTCATGGAAAATGGAGCTGAAAGATAACAGCATTCCCCCACTGACTCCACCACCCCTCGAGTGACATCGTGAGACCCTGGCAGTGCAGCCGCTGCCCGTGAGAGAGGGAAGGACCCGAGCTGTGGGTGGGGGCTGGTGCGTTTCCTACATCCCGGTCTCCCAGTGACGTTTCCGAGCACTGTGGGAGCACCCTCCTGCACAGAGGATGTGCACGCACAGCTGTACCAGACTCCTGGGACACCGTCGAAAAGAGAGCGCCGTGCTGAGACGGACGCCCTGCTGGGGCAGCCCCACCCTGTGCTGGCCTGGGGAGCTGATGGGGCGGCGGTTGTGACTTATTGCTGCTTCACCAAGCTCGCCCTCCCTCCTTCCTCAGAGGCCCTGACTGAGACCACAGCAGCCTTGGCAGAGCCAGTACTTGCTGAAACGGTCTTTATTGTACAGAAAAGGAAAGTGCACATGCGTGCTGCCCCCTCTTCTTCCTGCCTCAGCTCCAACAATCTAGCCGGACCACCGGGACCTGCAGAACAACTCCGAGGCTTTCAGACCATGCAGGGTGTTTTGGCAAAGCACCCGTCAAAGCGACTGGGTTCTCTAAGTGCTTCATGCTCAGTTAGCCCAACAAAGCCAGCCTCCTTGCGCCTGTCAGGCTGGTGCCAGGTGCTGAAAAGGGGGACACTGGTTTTTAGACACCAGCAGGGCCACCCAGGTGGACAGGGTTCAGCAGAGCTTCCAGACTTAGGACAGATGACGTAGAAGGAATAGGCTGCCCACATCTAAAGGATTAGCATTGAGAACCTATGAACAGCATTGAATCCTCATCAGAAGCTAAAAACCTCACAGACAGCAGCCAGAGGCGTTGGCAGAGATGAGCCCCTCAGGTCGGAAGGCACCACCGGACGCACGACTGAGGAAGAGCTGCCTTCTCCAAGTAGAGTCGACCACGATGACACGGCCGCGGAGTAAAGCCTTCGGGACGTTCGTTTGCTGATGGGGCACCGCTCACAAGAAGACACAGCTGCGAGCCTCCATGAGTAATTGGTGTGGGCATGTGAAGCATGAATCGAGGACGGTGGGAGGTTGTCACCGACACTCCATGAGTCAGTGAGCTGAAATGGAATGGTATCGGCCAGCTTGAGAACGACAGATTCAGAAAGGGTCAGTCTTCAAGTGCGATCCTGTGATCGGATCTCTGTTTGCATCAAGGAAGTCCAATCAGCATGACTGTTCAAATCACGCCACCACCACAACAGCCAGTGATGCAGAAATGGAGAATTCCACCAACATCTTCAGTCTGAAATGGATCAAACATGCCGTCAAGATGTATTGATGATTGCTGCTTGTGGAAAGCAAAAGTTGGAAACATGCAGGCACAGTAGTTGTGAAATAGGCTCTTGGAGTTAGAAACGAGTCTGGAGATCACACGGTGGGACTTTGCAAAACCAACGACTTGTTTGTAGCACATGCTTTTTCGCAGCAGCACAGACGGTGCCTGTACGTGTGCACGTCTCCAGATGGACTCTTCTGAGGAGGAGGGGACGGCGGAGCTCCATGTCGGCAGCCAGAACGAGGCCAGCCCGGCTGGAAAAGACCACCAGTTGCTCTTATTGAGACCAGGTTGAAGCTGCAGGAAATTAACACAAGTGCACGAGAACCCAATTTAGGGACACGTCGAGAACAGATGACGCGTCAAACCCTGATGACAGGAGCCCTGATGATCTGTGCAAGGGCTTCAAGCATAGCCTGCATGAGAAAGCAGAAGCCATTAAAAGAAAGAAAAGACTAAGGGGGGTCAAAAGAGAATGAAACTTGCTTCTGAATGCACGGTAGTTGCAGCAGAAAGAAGATGTAATGATATCAAAGAGCCGGACCGAACGTTTCTGGGGACAGCTTGTGGAGACCAGGCTGACGGCCTCGTCTTTTCTTCTGTAAGGGGCTGGTAGGCTCACGGCTGTGACCCTTGGGTTCGCAGTGGAGCACTTAATCACTGTGCCACCAGGGTTCCTTTTTGAGAGCCAAAGCCGAGTGCCATCAAGTTGATTCAGACTCAGAGCCGCCGATAGGACAACAAAACTGCTCCTGTGGGCTTCTGAGGCTACACATCTCTATGGGAGCAGTCAGCCTCATTTCTCTCCCTTGGAGTGGATGGTGGGTTTGAACTGCTGACTGTATTGGACTGTTCAACATCTGACTCTTAGGCCCATTCTCTGGGTTCTGTGGGGCAGGAACTACCTGGAACTGGTTTCCAGTCGGGCAGCAGTGCCCATTGGCTCTAACTGCCAGGACTCCTGGTGCTTCCCGGGTGGGTGGAGGTGTGGTCACCTCCAGGGCTGTCCACACAGGGCAGCCAAGGTCCTGCCGTGAATGTCTGCTCTGGCTTGTGACTGTGTGACCAAGTACTGGCCACGTCAGCACTGTGCACATGTACTGTTCAGTGAGGTGGTTTGTGTGTGTCGCTGGGCAGCACTCACCACAGTCCACGTCTGGCGTTTTCCTGAGACCCCTGAACTGTGAGCCCCCACCCCACATTGGGTACAGATGAGCAGTCGCTGGTAGTTACTCTCTGTTCTCTGCCCAGAGGAAGAAGCAGCAGGCAGCAGCCAGCACCTGCCTCAGAGGCACCAGGGACAGGGCTCAAAAGCTGCTGATGGGCAGGGCTGCTTTGCTCAGTCATGTTTCAAGGTCTGAGACACAGCTAGAAGGGGACGAGCCCTTGTCACCTTGTAGCCTGTACATGTGCGATGTTGAATTCTGTTAGCCAGTCACGACGTCACTGCCCTCTGTGCCCGCCAGCAGGTCCTGCACTTGTTGCATATCAGGGCTCCTTTCATGGCTGGGTCTACCTCGACTTAGCGTATGACGGTCATTTGGGAATAAAACAAATGGCAAGAGAAAAGGGTTATCGAAACAGAAGCTGATGGTCCCCCCTTTTAGGAACAAAATTCCTGGAAGAAACCGCTGGTGGTTAGGAAAAACCACATGCAGTGATCCCTTTCTTTGCGTGTTTCGTTTTTCCCAGAAGGAACGAAACCATTTTTCAGATAACCATCGTCTTAGCTGTTCAGAGACTAGAAACATTCCACCCTTCGTGGGATTCCTTCTTTCTGATCTTTGTGTTGATGCTGGTGAAGAACCGGGGGTTGGGCTCACTCTTACTCATGGTCAAGGAGCCCTGGTGGCACAGAGGGTTTGACATTGGACTGCTCATTCCAAGGTTGGTGGTTCAAACCCACCAGCTGCTCCTCGGGAGAAAGATGAGGCTGTGTCCCTCTATAATGATTTACAGTCTTGAAAACCTCTGTAGTGTTGGGGGCCAGCCTCTCCACAACTGACTGGGTCCAAGGGGTGGTTGTGTAATTGAGGGCTAAGTTAAAGAGACGTAAGACAAGATAAAGCATTCAAAGGCTCACCTCCACGATTGCTTTAGGAACCAGCTTCAAGTAGAGAGGCTGTAATGGTATCTCACGAGCTTATATAATCTGGGGCATGCAATCCACAGTAAGCACATACATAACAGGAAGGGACTGTACTAGGGGCATACATGTGACAGGAACGCTCATACATGACAAGATGGGTGGGCTCTAGAGTCAGTATGGCAGCTTAACCTTGGTTGTCTGAGCTGGCTTGACCTTAGGTATCTTTGAGCTCTTTACCAGGGGAACAATTTATGATCCTTATCAGAAGGGAGTGGGCCCTACTTGGGGTGGGATAGACAATAGGGTCTGATTGCTTTGATGGCAGATAGCCTTTAGGCAGTTGACTTTCAAGGGTATATAGTAGCAGCCATGTGCTTGCAAGTAGCACCTTAAAACTGGCATTATGGGGCGACATTGTGGGGAGTAATTCTTACTTAGGAGAATGTGAGTGGGACGCATCTCCAATCCACGAACGTGAAGGTTCCTCCACAGGAGCCCTGGCCTCCCAGACTCCTTCACGTACTGCTGCTGAGAGATTACTCGCACACACGCTCTTACCGCTTCTGTTGCGCACACTGTGGGGCTGCTGTGAATTGGCTCGGTGGCAGCGGGTTTGCGCCTGTGCATTGGGATCGACGTGATGGCAACTAACAACACCCACCACCACCTTAGGTTTGCCCTTAGTTGCTAACCTAAAAGTTGGCCTTTCAAACCCATTCAGTGGAAGAAAAGGCCTGGTGATATTGTCCGTCAACATTACAGCCAAGAGACAGTTACCGTGTGTCACGGTGGGGCCACCATGGCGGTGAGCAGCGACAGCCTATGTGTCAGTCATGCAGAGGGGTTTGTAGCTGGAGTCTCCACCCAAGTGCCATTGCTTTGTACATCTAGATTTTGTCATTGTCGTCAGGGACCGCTGCGTTGGTTCTGGCCCATAGCCCCCTGTGCACGACAGAACGAAACACCGGTCATGCACCATCCTCATAGTCATGCTTATGCTTGGGCCAGTTATTTTATTGGCTTTCTTAAAAGGGCATATCATTTGCTCAGGACTTGACTTATAACCATGCCCACGAAGAGAAACAGGACGATGACGTGGATCTCCAGGTGGGACTGGAAGGTTCAGAACCTCAACACTCTGGAACCAGGATGTAAGGCCGTGCTCCAAATGTCAGAAGGATGGAGAGGCCAGAGCAAAGATGCCTGGGGCCAGCTTGTGATGAGTTGAGCATCAGGCTAAATGAGGACAATAAGCACTTCTTTAAAGCGCTGAAAAGCAAGGATGTTACTTTTGAGGACTGAGGTGCACCTGCCCCCAAACGTGGTATTTGCTATCACGTCATATGTGGTGAGGGTTGGATCTGGAATAAGGAAGCCCAGAGTCGAATTGAAGTATTTGAGTTGTGGTGCTGGTGAAGACTATGGGAAGTACCGTGGACTGTCAGGAGGACAGACACGTCTGTCTTGGAAGAAGTGCAGCTAAGCGCTCCTTAGAAAGGGAGATGCCGAGACGTCATCTCACGTACTTCGGACACGTCATCAGGGGAGACCAGTCCCTGGAGAAGGACCTCATGCTCAGTGAAGTAGAGGGGGAGCAACAAAAGACCCACAAGAAGATGGAGTGGCTGCATCAGTGGGCTCAAACCTGAGAACAGTTGTGAGGGCGGCGCAGGGCCAGGAGGTGTCTGGTTCTATTGTGCATGGAGGGCTGTGTGCACAGGAGGGCTGTGTGCACGGAGGGCTGTGTGCACAGGAGGGCTGTGTGCACGGAGGGCTGTG